TGTAATGACCCGTCAAAACACAGACTGAGAACACTGCTGATTTCTGAAGTTCTGCCGATGGAATGGATGCCTTGCTGAGATTCCCGCATTATGCTGTGTTTTCTAAGTCTGTCTGTGTGTGCGTGCTTGTGACCTGCGTGCCTGTCTGAGTGCTTGTTGGTATGGGTGTGTGTGTGACCCGCAAGGGTACTTGCTTGTTGGTAGGCCCGTAGGGCTGGTACTTACCTGTGGCCGGGCATTGAGGGTTGAAGCAGGGGAAAAACACTCAAGTGGCGAAGCTAGCGGCCCCGCGGCCCTTGGGGTAGTGGAAAAACACTCAAGTAGGCCGGTAGGCAGATACTGCACCCCACTGCAGTTGGCATGAGGGGGTACTGGAGGCCGAGCAGAAAAAGACAAAGTTGGCATTTTTAGAGTCCAGTAGCGGTAGGGTAGGTCTAGGCCGGTACCAGTCCAACCAGTCTGAGTCTAGAGCCTGTACGGGTAATATCAGGGTCTGCAATGATGTTTCCCTCCGAAACGGAGGAAGTACCGGTTGCTTGGAGAGGCCGAGCAGCCTGGAAGTCACCGCCCAGGAGGCAAGCAGGCCGCTATATCAAGAGGCCGGGCGGAGAGCCCAGCCTCATTCTTCAGTGTGCAAGTTTGGCAACACGCTGCTGGAGCGCTGGCTGGAGTAGCGCTGGGTACTACAGCGCTGCTGGGAGGAAGAAGCCGGGAGCTTCCACCTTGGCTATGGTGGAGCTCTACCGGTAGGAGGAGGAGGGAGAAGGGGACCGAGGAGGAGAGTGGTAGGGTACTTACCTGGCAATGGTAGACACCATCTTCATCTCCTTGCTAGGCGCTGCATCAAGAAGGCCCCAGTGGGGGTAGTGCCGCATCAAGGAAGCTCGGGACAGAGTCAGGCATGGTGGATGAGTGAGCAGCGGCATAGCTGCATGGTGATGACCTTGAAGTAGGGCAGCGGCATAGCTGCTTTGTGTTGTCCTTTGGACAGGAGGCTGAAGCCTCAGTAATCCACCATAGCCTCGGCCTGTATGTAGAGGAAGAAGAAGGGTKRCCATGGCTATGRTGGACCTCATGTTGTGCCTGCAGTAGAAGTGGGATTCGGACATTGATTCTGGTTCAGTCATTCAACATTATCATTGTTATTTCTTGTTTGAATAAGAGGAAGGAGATAAGGAGGAAGGGATTGGTTGGCGAAGAAGAAGAGCCTTGACATTGGTCTATGCTGGAGTACATCATCATCTTCTTCTTTCTCACTTCTTCTTCTTCTTCTTTCCCTCTCTTTCCCCTCAAGTTCATTCATTTCTTTTTGCAATTGGATGGCATTGTACTTTCAGATGAATGTATACTTACTTTCAGATGAATGTATACTTCGAAATAGGCCAGGATCGTAACAACGAGGTCCTTCGGCTTGCAGCTGAAATCGTGTGTCCCATTAGAGTACTTGTGCTGTGCTAAATGAGTTTGATGGGAAAGGCCGGTGCTGTGACTCTGTAAACTTAAGTTCAACAGTCGCTTCTGGAGTTCGGTTGAGCACAGTCAGAGGGTGGATGCTTCTTTCTTGAATATTACACAGTGAGGTTCAGTGGTGAATTGTGTTGACTGGATGGATCGTTGGTTCTTGAATTGCAGTGAGGAATGCCTTCTGCGGGTGCCCAAGAAAGCTTGGAAGGAGGCTGGCGTGAAGCAGTGGCCGCTGTTCTTCTTGAATAACAAGGTATGAAAGTGATGGTGGCCATCCAGCAAGCTTCTAGAGTGCTCCTTGGAGCGATTTGTGTGGGCTCTGAACTGTAGGTAGTTCTTATTATGGTCAGTTGAGTGAATTTGCATCACCAGCATTGGCCGCCCTTAAAATGAGGCAGTGGTACTTCAGGCATCGCAGTTCATGCAGCTTGACAAGGAAGTCCAGCTGGGTTCCACGCATAAGAGCCCAGCCTGGGTATGGTATGGGCTAGTGTCTGGTTCACCACTGCCATGGCAGAAGTTGGCCACATCCATTTGCTAAGTGTATTCATCTCCACGCTGTGGCATACAGGTCATACATTCACATGCATGGCTTGCCTCATCCACTCTATGGTAGCATAAATCATTGTGTGTTCTGTGACATCATGTGATGCGGTCTAGTCTCTGGGATGTACTGACGCACGTGTCCTCACAAGCACTATGAAGTTGTCAGCACAGCAGAAAAGTCAACGTGGGAAAAAGTGTGTCGGCCTAGGTGTGCTTATGGGGCCTTTCATCTGGTTGATGAGATGGCATGACCCCAATATACGTGGGAGCTGTCTGGGTGATGGTCTGCACATTTGCAACAGTGTCAAAGGTTGGAAATTGTATGAAGAGTGTGGGAGGAACCCAAGGAGTTAGGTTTGTTGACACAGTTGTCTTTGTCTTGTGTCATTGTCAGTTCCCTTTCTTGAAGTCCTCGGTGGTTTTGCCTGTTCCTTGTTCTGCATGTTATTTTCACTTTGTAAGGGAACAGAGAAGTGCGATCTTTGTCCCTTCACATTTAGCAGTGGCTCCTTGTTCTCTGAGCGAGTCACGCATGTTGACCAACTTTTGATTGCTAGCGAACTTTCTGTTTGCGTGCAACAGCTATACTGTGCGATGATCAAGGCACAGGAGGGTAACGCCGATGGGTGGTCAGACAGGCGGGTTTGGAAGAAGATCAGAAGAGACCCATACATGGCCTGTGCAGTACTGGAGGGGTATGCAAGTTTAAAGGAGATTCTTCTTCACCTTCTCATATCAAGGGAAACTGATTTCAGGTAATATTTGGAAGTGTAGGTGGTCTGGGACTCGTTTTGAACGTGAGGTGTTTGTAAGAGGAGTGTGCTTGAAGCCTAGAACAATGGTCGCACGGTGCTACCACATTTGTGTGCAGTGTCCTCCGGACTGTTTGGCGCTAGGTCCTCCGCACTGTGCTCTCCCTCTCCCTCTCCCTCCCTCTCACTCTCTCTCTCTCAGCCTATCTCTGTGTCTCCGTTGCACATGCGAAGGGCACATCAACAGCCGGTGGATATATGACCAAATACAGGCCAACAGAGCTGCACTCACAGAAATCCTTTTCGAAAGACTCGGTTCTCTGTTCGTGTTTGCGTCTGAGGCACCAGCTGCATGACCAAATGTAGACCAACAGTCTACCACAAACGTGGAGAGATGATTAGGACGGGACAGACGGCGAGAGAGAGAGAGAGAGAGAGAGAGAGAGAGAGAGAGAGAGAGAGAGAGAGAGAGAGAGAGAGAGAGAGAGAGAGAGAGAGAGAGAGA